GCTCAGCAGCTCCATTCCACAAAGCTGATAAGTGCATATTAAGCATATACTGTAAACACACTCACCCATATAATGCCTATGTGTATGTGGTTATACATAAACCGATTGCAAGGCAGACGTTTATCAGTCTGAAGCTGAAACTTTGCACTCTTCATAATGAGATTATGKGACAAAGAACCAAAGAACGGACCCCAACAGAAYATTGTTTCTTTGCACTGTCTAGACTTTARMTCCGAATTATGCAATGGCCTGGCATGGAAAGCCAGTATTGATTGCCCAGGCGAAGTTTTGCCGGGTCAAATGGATCCAGTTGTGCGGCGATACGACAAAACAACAAAGAGCCCAAACAATTGAGAGAAAGAGAGTTCCCCCTATCAAGAGGCAGAACCTCGTGCTCGTTCATTTGTGAGGTCAAGGCGGTTTCAAAAGGCTGTCGTCGCATGTTTTGCTACATTTTATATCAATGGCTTTTTTTTTTGGCAACTGCATTTTTTTTGGGTACATTGATTTTTCGCACAACACGTGCACATAAAAAAAAAAAAAAACTAAACYAACTGGCAGGTAGGTAAACTTACCACTATTGAGTTTTACTGGCTTGCTATCAAAGAGGTTGTTTGTAAGGCATGTCTGGACTTTGCTGCTATTTAAAACCAATATCCATAAATAAATGTTGGGGAAAATCAATTAAATTAACAAACGTTTTTTACACGGAACACGGCCGGCCCTGCTTAAACAAGGCGACACAGGGAGGAGCACAGAACACAGAACCAGAAACCAGAGAGAGAAAGTGTGTGCAAACGGAAAATGCTGCCAAACGTTACGAGCGACTAAACTGAACTGAAACGCTGAGCCGCCAGCCAAACGCGAGAAGCCAACGCAGTTGAGTCCGAGTCTGAGTCTCAGGCCAAGCCAAGTGCACAGCAAAGCAGAGCAGAGCCGGGCAGAGCCAAAGGCAATTTTAGGGTCGGCTCGCATGGCTAACAGAACGGCGGGACATGCGTGAAACGTCGAAGACGACGTCGGCAGCGACGACGACGGCGACGTCATGAATGAAGCCGGGAGAGCGGCAAACAAAGAGCGAGCTAAAAATGCTGAGAGAGCGGGAGA